AATGGGCATGATGAAGGTTTTCCATTAAGCAATAAATACATAAATAAATATATACATCATGAGATGTGAAAGTCGTAATCAGGGTGTCAGCTGATGGCTGAATCACGTTTGAAAAGTACCGTTTGATTAAAAACGACTACAACAGACAGCTAAAGGAGCCAGCAGGAACTACACAGAAACGTGTCAGCTGTCTTGAGTAGGTTTATGATGAGAGGACTGGCCAGATGTTTTCCCACTTACCCTTATCAGCCGCACCCAGCCGAACCTGCAGAGAAGCAAAACACATAAGAGCAGAGAGGGCCGCCACACATTATATCCATAAGATACAATGATTAGATATGTCATGTTTTTAGGGAGGGCAGTTAATAATGAACAAAAAGATATAAATTCCAACTCAATGATTTTCTGGATTATTTTTTTCTTCTCCTCCTCACTGTTCTTAAAGCTTGATAATGAAACAGTTCAGGACATAGATTTATTTATTTTTCTTCCTGCTGGGACTGGGTCTAGACCAGCTCCTGTGTATTATTCATACCAACCACAAGGCTGAGTGACGTCAGACTTGTTATGATTCTCGTCTGAGGCTCCACCCCCTCCTCTCCTCTTGGCCAGAGAAGCCTCTCAGGAGGGCGCAGTCAGTGCGCGTCGCTCCTCCTCCTCAGTCCGCCCCTCTGCACTTCATGTAAACAAGTCCATTAGCTCCGCAGCGCGGGGCACTGGCCAAGAAAACTGAAATAAATAAAAAAAAACCTGTTCAGAAAGACAGCATGTGCAAACCCTAAACAAAGCGGAGGGTAAACACTGTGAGGGCGCGACGCTCCCCTGTTGACAGCTAAGCACGTCCATGTTGCGTAAAAAAAAAAAAAAAAAAAGCCCTGGATGTAAATAGGATAATAACAACCTAGACAGAGACGGAGATAGCTCACATCCGCGAGTGTGACAGCTGAGCCTCAGCTTGTTGCTGTTTTCCACCCAATAAAAGTTCAAACTAAACGACATCTCTGCTCTTACACAATAACACGCGCGCCGATTTCATCTGCGCAGCTGAAATGTTGTTCCCGACGCGCCTGGACGCAATAATAAGTGTTTTTGTTGAGCACTGTGCAGCCGCGCGTTAACGCCCAGCACTGCACGCACACCCCTTTTTTTTTTTTTAGGGTAAAAACAAACAGCACGTTGATCCACCTTAATATAATCATTTATCTCTGATCAAATTCCTAATATGTGGCGAATGCTGATTAAACTTACCTGCTTCCCCTCCGCCCAGGCCCGCGCGTTTAACATGAATATATTTTAATGACGCAGCAAGACCGCACGGAGCAGCGTGAGTGTCGCCATTTTTTGTTGTTTTTGAATTCTCCAAAAGCCATGTGACAGAAGAAGGCTTTAAAACGAGCTTCCGGTGGAAGGCGGAGGTGAAAGAAAACTCGTTTCGCGAAGGCTAAATGAAGAAATGATAAAAACATAAAAGGTTAATCTAGTTTGTCTGGCGGATTGTTGTGCTCGGTCCGCTGGAGGCTGCGCGCAGGGTTTGACAGCTCCCGGACGCTGCGTGGCTCACACAAGTTCTCACAGGATCCCGAATGACAGCAACTCTTTTCTTTTTTTTTTTTCCCATCTATCCCAGCGCCTCCCGCTGCAGAGCAAACAGAAGAACACAGAAATAACCCAAAGCTTATAAGAAAAGCCCCGAGTTGGTTAACTTCAGCTGTGTCCCAACAGTTCAGGTGCTGTAAAAGAACAACAACAAAAAATGTCGAGCAACAAAAACTTCCACTGTAAACTCCAACAATGTAGGAATATGCCTTATTGGTCTATGTATTTATCAAAACAAACAAACAAAATTAACATAAGTGACACGTGCCACCTTGGAACACCACTCCATTTTCAGCAAGTGACAACATGGCATTGAAAGTTGTCAACATAAATATTGTTAACATATAACAGCTACCGGCATATATAAACTTTATTTGTCATTCACACCTAGAACAAAATTGTGGTCCCAGTTCCATCCAACAAAAATATAAATTGTAAAAGAAAAAAAAAAAAACAGTAATAAAATCTAAGATGTGAACTAAGAAATACGCTAAACTAAGAATACGCTAAGCACTAATACAGAAACAATAGCCAAACAACAGCAGCACGAGCATGAGTCTGTGTGAGCAGATGTGCACGAATGCACAGTGTGAAATAAATCAGCAGCATGAGATCAGCAGCATGGATAATCAGCAGCAGCAGGTGTCAATATCTGTATATCTATATCTATCTCTATCTATCTCTATCTCTCTATATATCTCTATATCTATCTCTCTATATATCTCTATCTATATATCTATATATCTCTATCTATATATCTATCTATCTCTATCTCTATCTATCTATCTATCTATCTATCTATCTATCTATCTATCTATCT